TTCAAGATTACAAGTAATTATGCATAAGTACAACTTATTAAAGCTCGATGTTTGAATTCGTATAAATAACTGCGGATAAACATAATCAAATAGAGGATGGACATCTCATTTTAAAATATAAAAAATCTAAAATATAATTAGAATAATTATCGAGTTCCAACAAAATAAATAATTATTAACTTTATAAAAAGATTATATTATTAAACCAAATATAAATTACTTCGTTATTGTACATAATTTAAATTATAAAAATATTGAATTAAAAAAATTACACAAAAAAATGAGAAATTTCAAATAGTTAATTTGTTACTAATATCGATATATTTTTGTCAAATTTTTATTATATCTTCAAACATATATTTTATTAAAAAATTAAAACATCATCGCTTTCTCAAATATAAGAATAAAATGAAATATTAAAATCACAATGTATCTCACTGCATTGCACGAATACGCTTCTAGTATATATATATATATATATATATATATATATAAAGAGAGAGAGAGAGAGAGAGAGATGAATGTTTAAAGATAACCCTAACTATTTAATAAAACAAAAAAAAGTTGTTAATATACAAAATCATATGTGATTTTACATTACCGTAAAAAAAAGAAGTGGACGACTTTTGAACCTGTATGATTTTATATACGAACACACACACACACACACATATATATATATATATATATATACATATGTGTGTGATCATATATAATTTTGTTTATTAACGACATTTTCTTGTTTTCTTAAATAATTTTCTTATTTAAACTTATATTAATTTGTTAAAAGAAAGCAAGTCAAATAATCTTTTCCTCCTATGAGGATCCTTAAAATAGAATAGAGAAGGGTAGGATGGCTTCCACAATTCTTGGTCAAAGAGAAATGGAAAGGAACACAAACATGTCAAAAATTATCTTAAGTATATTTAAATGTTTATAACCTTTTAAATTAGTTTTTTTAATTTAATAATATGATTTTAAATCATGGATATTATATTGGTTATTTTAAACCTTAGAAAAAGATTAACAAAAAAACATGGGTGAATTGTGGATTTCATCCTTGTGTTTTGATATAATT